AGGAACTTCTTACCCCCCCTACGTTACTAGTACGCAATATCGTTATACAAGTTACATCTGAGTCTGTCGTGAGTCTTAGCAGGTATTACACATACATACGTGATGAACATGAGGGGTTGAGAATCAAATGAGGCATGCCTCCCGAGATGAGATCACTGTTTGCTGAGTGGAGACAGAGAAACAGTTAACACTGAAATAAGTGGATCCCAGGCGGACATCAGAGAATGCCTCTCTAAAGATGGAACATCCAATTTGTGTTACTTCCCCTCCCTCACAGTGAAGAGACCGTCCCACCATCAAGTTCCTCACACATAATCAAATTCCAACTCCCTTGCGTTTCCCCAGGCTGTGTGGGTCCTGCTGCATTGCAAGCCCAACGGTCCCCAGAGCGCAATTACATGTCAAGAGGAAGGCGGAAGGTCACCCGCTCTCCGGAGGCCCAACTTCGTCGAGTGGTTTATAGGTAACGGACACTATATTCCGTGGGGAAAAGTGGACAGTTTTGGATTTTGTCCCTCTGTCTCATAGAGATTCATGAAAATCAAAGACATTTAGATTATTTTGTGTAAAAATCAGCATATTTCTTCTTTCTTTTTCATCATTATAACTTTTTATTTTGAGATAGTTTAAGACTCATGAGAAGTAGCAAAAACGGTACAGAAGAAGCAAAACTGTACATTCAACCCAGCTTCCCCTAATGATGATATCTTTTATAACAGTAGTCATTGTCAAAACCAGGAAATTGACAATGATCCAGTAGTATTTTTTTTTAAAGATTTTATTTATTTATTTGACAGAGAGAGACACAGCGAGAGAGGGAACACAAGCAGGGGGAGCGGGAGAGGGAGAAGCAGGCTTCCCGCCGAGCAGGGAGCCCGATGCGGGGCTCGATCCCAGGACCCTGGGATCATGACCTGAGCCAAAGGCAGACGCTTAACGACTGAGCCACCCAGGCGCCCCCCAAAGGACACTCCTAACCCCAATTTTGATCCCAGCCAGCCAAGGGAGACCAGAGACCAGCTCTCAAGTGTGAAGAAGAAAGCACCTAGCATAGGGCTTTTCTATTCCATATCTGGATGAGGATCCCCAGTAAAAGAAGAAAATAAGCCCGATATCCATTGTTTCCTTCCCTCTTAGCATCCTCATGAGTCCCTCACCATGTAGAAGCAAGAGGCAGAAGAGGAGTGATAGTACTACGTGGGTTCTTACAGCACATGCATATTCTCACTGATGTCCTAGAATTTCAATCACAGTAGGATCCCATTCTCTTGGGCACCAGTGATGGGTAAGGGAGAATATAAGCTAGGAATCTTCTCTTCTCTCAAAAATTCTCGCCAAGGTCACTTAGGTCAACAGCCCATTATGAAATAAAACCTTACAGAAAGTACCAGGTGTTGAGAATCCCCTCAGTTCTGCTTCCCCAGGATGGAAAGATTAATGTTGAGCGGGACGTAGAGACACAGTTAAATCCATTATAATGAGGAATGAGATGGAGTTATGGGGGCTTGAGAGAAGATTTCCCTAAAGACAAAGCATGGGGTCTAGGGCTTTTAATTAACATAAAGTCATGCTGCAGAGATTGTCCTTCCACCAGGCCTCCATGCTGTATTCGTAACACAACTTGAGTTCTGTTTTCCTGTGAATATGGTGACGAATCTGTATACGGTAGTTTTAAGACATCGGACGAGGGCTTCCAGGTTTGTCCTTCCTCAGAATGTGAAGAAGAGATAACAGTAGAGCCAACACTTGCTGCTGGACCTCAGTCCTGTGAGGAAGCGGTTTCCAAGTAAGGGGAATGATTACACGGGGATGTTGAATGTAGTATTGGATTCCGTTCCTCGATATCACAGGGGCGCATGAGAATCAGGGGATTCGGGTCACTTACACAGGAACCGGGGAGAATGAATGAGCTTATTTATCCAGTCTTACCAACAAACCAGAAATTTCTGAATGAGGCCAATCACCTCTTCCTTCAGAAGTCTTGAGAGCTGTACACAAAAAGGCAGTAACGGATGCAAAGACCATTGATTGAGCTGGGAATCAATGCGAGTAACTAACTCAGTGCTCTGGGAAACAGCCTGCTCTTGAGGCTGAAGGATGGAGTGGGGTCCCTGAAGTGGTGTGCTAGAAATTGTTCAGCACCAGTTCCCCAGAGGAAGGTGGGGGAAAGCCTTTATGTGTAGTGTTGGCCGATTTCTGTGGGGTGACTACTTCCATCATGGTGGATTGCAGACTACCAACATGATGACCCTGAGCATGGCTTTGGAAATAGGTGTCCAGTAGCCCACCACTACAAGAGTATTTTCACCACACAGATACCTTAGATGTAAATAACTTCAAGAGGGGAGGGTATAGAGGTGCCTGGCTGGCTGAGTCAGTGGAGCATACGACTCGTGATCTTGGGACCCTGAGTTCAAGCCCGACTTGGGTGTAGAGATTACAAAAAAATAAATATAACTAAACTTAAAAACAAAAGAGCGCAGAGTATAGTAAGATGTAGTAAAATAATTAGAAAGTAATAAGCTTTCAACATTTATTACTTTTGTTTGTAAAATAGGTCTATTTAAATGAAAATTTTATAGAATTTAATTTTCTGTTAACAATGTTAACACGTTGGGGCGCCTGGGTGGGTCAGTCGTTAAGCGTCTGCCTTCGGCTCAGGTCTGGATCCCAGGGTCTTGGGATCGAGCCCCGCATCGGGCTCCCTGCTCGGCGGGAAGCCTGCTCCTCCCTCTCCCACTCCCCCTGCTGTGTTCCCTCTCTTGCTGTGTCTCTCTCTGTCAAATAAATAAATAAATAAAATCTTTTAAAAAAACAACGTTAACATGTTTAACAATCTACGCACTAAATTCCCGGAAAATGTAACAATCGAATCCCATGATCTGGGGTGAGCCGGCTCCCGCCTACCAGTGGCTTCCTTCCACCTCCTAAATCCCCACCACAGCCACCCACTGGAACCCAGCGCGCACAAGCACCGTAAGAGAACAGAAGGTGGTGTATTTACCCTCAGTGCTTTGCATGGGGCTGACATAATCCATGGCTGATTTTGTGGCCCCAGATATAGCAGCAAGACTTAGGAGGGCAGGTCAAGGTTCTCTCACATGACTTGCCCAAAACCCTTTTGAGAAAAGAGCTACAGATTCTTTTTAACTCCATTTCTCCAAATACTTGTTCTTTTTAGCCTTAGTCTATCTATCAGTTTCTCTGTGAATCCCTTTCATGTTGAAGTGAATAGAGATATCAAGGAATATATAAGGAGTCTGGGGATCAAGGATTACATGTATAGAGCAAGAAATCAAGAGAATCTAAGAAAATGTCAGTGAAATTAGATGACATTTCATGATCCCACAGCATCAATCATGCAATAACTACTGTACCCACAGAAATCAGTGCTTTGGTCCTCTTTCATCACAGCCCTTCTTAGGAGCTAGGACTCTTGCCGTATGATTCCCCCGGTCTTGATTCGTTCCACATTTCCAGCTCCCCAAGACAGAGATTGGATTGAGTTGGTTGTCCTCATCCAAAAAATATCACCTGTGTTAGGGCAGATTTCTCACAACCAGGCACTTACTTCATGAACCACTAGCTCACCCTATAGATCATGATTATCAACTTTGGCTAAATATTGGAATCATTTGGGAAGCTTTAAAAGTAATGATGCTGAGGTCCCACCTCTAGCCCCCTGATTTAATTGGTCTGGGCTGTGATCCATGTTTTGGGGAATTTTTAAAGCTTCCCAGGCGCAGTCAAGTTTGGGGAACTGCTATGGGAGCATGTATTCCACCCATGAGTCAATTGGTAATTCAGTGTTTTTATTCCAACAGTCATAGGATACCAGTTAGAGCCATCTATTTATCTATTTATTTAAAAATTTATTTTTACCAAATGACCCCAAATACTTATTTGACTAAATTCTATTTTATGCATAAGCATGATGGCCTCCCCTGTTTAGTAGACTTTGGCAGTTAAAAAAAAACAAAAACCAAAAAACCAGGCAGCCTCATCCAGAACAGTGCAAATGCTAAGGGTAAGATTAGTCTACAGTTTTACTGTAGGATAAATACATTTTTTTTTAAAAGGTCCCTCCTTCTGGCCCTATCAACTCTCAGTTTTGACCATTAAATATAGACAAATTTTCCAAAAATCACTGCTTCTCCAAGATCCTCAATGCCGTCATCATCCATCTCTGTTCATTTTTCCTGAATGACCTCCAGTATGTCATCTGTAAAGGCTCCCTGAATGATGATTTCATCCTCTCCTTTTACTGAGGCACGACAGGAGAATTTTTGAGCAAAACAAACAAACAAACAAACAAAACAAACAAAAAAACCACCCAACACTGTGCTTCTTTCTTAAAAAAATTTTTTAAAGATTTTATTTATTTATTTGAGAAAGAGAGAGAACGGGAGAGCATGAGCTGGGGAGGGACATGTGGAGAGGGAGACAGAGAATCTCAAGCAGACTCCAAGCTTGGTGTGGAGCCTTACTCGGAGCTCCATCTCACAACCTGAGATCATGATGTCAACCAAAATTAAGAGTCGGATGCACAACCAACTGAACCACCCAGGCGCCCCTCTCTGTGCTTCTTTAAGATCAGTTTTGAAAGTTGAAAGGCCACACATTCCTGTTACATATTTCTTTTTCCACTCTGGGAATTTTGGCAATCCTAACCTTTTGTGATACCATCTTCCTTTTTTGCTTTATTTGACCCCTTCTACCTCTCTTCTGCTTTTTCTTCTCTTCCTCTTCCCCTCCTCTGCCTTGACCTTCACTAAGTCCAGCTTCTTGTTTCTGTGAATTTTCTGCAGTAAATTTTGCAAACTCATTTAGAACATTCTCCACAGTAAAGGACTTAGAGTGGGTAGTGTGCATCTAACTTGCCCTCAGGTATTGCCCCTCAGATCTCCTTTGCCATCACGCCCACCAGATTCAGAAATACCAGGAGTCATCTCCCAAACTGCCAGCTGAAGCAACACATGCCCAATCAGGGCAACTTAAACAAAAGAAGTTAGGTATGACCACTTTGGACACTGGAATAATAGGAGAAGAGGTAGAATGGTCAAGACACATTTGGTTTGAGAGATCCCCTTAGTTCTACTCTCCATATATCTGGTTAAAAAATCTTTCTGTCGGGGCGCCTGGGTGGCTCAGTTGGTTAAGCGACTGCCTTCGGCTCAGGTCATGATCCTGGAGTCCTTGGATCAAGTCCCGCATCGGGCTGCCTGCTCGGCAGGGAGCCTGCTTCTCCCTCTGACCCTCCCCCCTCTCATGTGCCCTC